TCAAGAAACTTGTGCACCGACCAGAGCATTGAAATGAATGCGTGCACGTTGAATCAAGGCTACCTCAAAGTAGTCCAATCCAGATCTCTATCTTCTGACATTACACCCCTGTAAACCCTCTCCAGCGAATGCCCGTAGCGGCTGAGTTCTGCCTAGGAGACAACGTCTGCTCGATGTCTGCCCCAGTGCTGATAACTGTACTTGAACCGTACTGATATGTGGTGCGGGATGAATAGGGGTACAACGTTGACATGTAAGCCACGTTGTACTCATTGAGCAGGCAATTGAGTTGTCGAGGTTGTATAGTGAGAAGGATGTATGGGAAAAGTGCTTCGCTTGATATCCGCTTGTCCCTTCAAGAAGACGTATCCCGATCGTATCCACTCCCTCGCACCGAGTCACCGATATCAGAATCCCGGCCCGAACCCAACGCATGAAGGGCGATAGAGACCGTTGGTTTCGACTTCGAGTGCGAATAGAGATCTCCAGAGCCAATGTTCATGATTCATCGGGCCTCCTTCGCATCCTGCGGCACACCCTGCCAGTGCTACATGCAAGCAGGAAGACCTCTGGCTCTGAGCACACTATCACTGAGCTTGTATCATTGACAAGGAAACATGAGCTGGTTGTAAACCTCGCGGCAACGACTGGTTTTGAATAGGGGTAGATCTGAGATGGTGGTGGTTCCGATGCTGTGGTCCTCTGACAGGTGATCAAATCTGATCCGACGAAGATGATCATTCAAAGCCAGGGTCAAGACATGAATAGAGGTGGTGACCTACACCATGGTGCATCAGCCGCGATATGTTGTGGTGACAACGAGGAATGTACTTGTACCCATCATCTCCAGCTCCAAGGAGGAGGCAGCGCTTCGGAGAATCGCATTGACCACTTCCTCTTCATGGCACCTTCCGTGGGTTGAGCCATTGACGTTGATACTGAACTTGACCAGTGCCGGAGAGGGTACAAATACCCCCCACATCTCCGGAGTTTCGCATTGTTCAAGCCTGAGAATGCGGATACGGAGTTGAATGAAAGTCGGACCATAAAGAGCTGTGGATGCTGAAAGCGCATCGCATCTACATTGGTTCATGCTGACGTGTTTCAACCTCGGAAAGGAGGACATGAACATGATATATGTAGTACTCGGGACCTTGCAAGCCAACATCTTGGAGCGATAGGGTCGTCACTGTTGTGAAGCCGGAGACCAAGTGCTGGTGCGTCACCCCGGATAGCTTCCAGAAATTCATTCCAACAAGCTCCATTTCTCGTAAGTTTGAGAACGCAGAAGATGCGATAATGGATGTTATTGCCATGGCGTATGACCATCCGGTACACTCTTGGAAGGATACTTTCTGAACGTTGGCATGGGAGAAGGTTTCTAAGGGTTCCTTAAGGAGATTTGAAAAACGAACATCGCTTCACATGTGATAAATGCAGAATGAGATATGTCGGAAGGTGTAGCTTCTAAGTTCTGGATATGGGAACCCATGCTCAGCATACAAGAGTACATTGAAGAAGAGTACGGAAAGGCTTGGAAGGACAACACGGTCACAGAGGTGGCTAAGGATAAGCGCATGAAGCTCTAGGGGAAGGTGACAGCGAGGTGGCATCGAGATGGTCTCAAGTAAGAGATATGCTCGCTGTCTTTATGTGAGCTCACCTCATGTCATGTGCATATTATGGTAGGAAAACGAACCTGGAGTATGACATGAGGGCTCATGACCCGAGCCTGACATCTTCCCGGCCTCCTGTCTTGGATCTAGGTGTGACTGGGCGACGGCAGGATTCATCCATAAAGTCTAATCCATTAAACAGTATCTCAGGTCCATACAGTCCTGCCATCAAACTCCTAGCCAAGGAATCATCAAATTTATCACTCGGAAACAAAGGCGTAAAAGCCCTATTGACGAGGATCGACCTTCATAGCTATACTATCGCCAATTTCACTTGGGAAACAACCAAACCAATATCAATCGCCCCAGGGAAAGCTATCATCCTCGACCTCGAGTCTCTACTCGACTCTAACAAACTCCAACGCAAACTTCATTCCAAAGTCCGAACATGGACTGTTTCCTCCGCGCATGTCGATGGACCTACTCGTACCTTTTCGTTGACGATTAAGGTGAAGCCAGGTGTTGCAGCGACTGGTGTGTTGTTTGATATTGCGAACGACTCGAGGTACCGTGAGCTGTTGGGTGCCGGTGATATGCGGTCGTTGGGTTTGAGTGTTGGGTTTTTGGGTGTTGCGGGGGAGCTTGGGTTGGGTGATATCGATACCGACTCCGAGATTGCGGCGGTGAAGAGGAAGAAGTGTTTGTGGATAGAAGGTGGAGTGGGGGTTACATCGTTCCTGAGCATGCTTCGAGGCATCGTTGCACTCACTTCCGAGTCGTTGCATTGGGACGTCATTCTCATATTATCGACTCGAGAGGCAGATGTTCTGGTGCCTATCATCGCTGATATATCGAAGGGTCTTGATTCGGAACGAGTCAAACTATCGGTGCTCATATTCTCTAGCAATTGGTCCAACATATCATAAAGCTAGACTCTCAGAAGCAAGGCAGAGATATTTATTATGTGGTACACCGGAGTTTGAGCAAGTTGTTATTGATGGATTGGGTAGGATCAGTGTTGCGACTGAGAGGGTAAAAAGAGATGTTTACATATTAATTCACCTGTGTTATATTTTACGTGTTTTAATCCTGAAATGACTCTAGATTTGGCCTGAGGGATACATTCTTGGACATTGAGTAAACTCAAAGCGCATTGTCACTGTGCAGGCCGACGGCGATAGATCAATAGCATCACGGCATACCCCATGCCGTTGATTGAGCCGGTTGAACGTTGTGACGTTATCGCCTTTGTTCCTCTAAACCATCATGACCTCCAGTCTCATCCAAGAGCTTCAGCTCGAGAAGCATCCCGCAGGAGGTACCGCAGAAAGGGAAAGCGCTAACCCATGAGCTTACAACATTCGTGATAGGGTACTGGCGCGAAATCGACCGTCAAGAAACCCAAATCCCTAGCCCATTTGCCCCGAGTGCGTCAGTTTAGAAATTGACTTGTCGCAGAACTATCGTTCGACTCGCGCGATAATCGTACAGATAACCCACCTCGGCCTCTGGTGACCTCGATCTATCATCTTCTGACTAAAGATAGTCCAAGTGCCGTTTTTATCAAGAATAGATCAGTGGTGAGTCGCGTCAGCTGCCTCGGGCTTTAGGGAGTTCTTACTATATACCTCCTCATTAGGCATATCATATCCATCATCAAGGAAAGGCAGAATACACAACCATCACACCCATACCAGGACACCCGCCTCGCATTGAGAAGAAGATCCTGGGTCCTGATACGGCTGCTGGAGAAAGTCGATTTCTGACATTTGGTTCGGAGGTGTGGAAGATGGCGAGATTACCTCCTGGCTCAGAGGAATGTTTGCTCTCTTTGGTCGTCGTTCCAGGATTCCATTGGGAGGATCACGAGTTCCTAACAAAGGAAGGTCTTGAAGAGCTTCTTGCGGGCGTCGAAGGCGGTGAAGAGAACATTGCTGATTTTGGGAAATACCTAAAGTAACGTCAGAAAGTCTGTTTTTTCTTCCTCGTGATTTTAGTCCCGAATCATGTAGCTTTGCACAGAAGACGACCTGAAAGTCCGCGATGTACACGGGCTAGTGCGAAGCAATATACGCGAAGTTCTCTATGATTCGATCGCTGCACTCAGGTTTGGTTGTATGAAATCGCACTTATGGACTTTGCATAATACTTTCCAGGAGAACGATGAAGGGCGTTCAGTCAGTCTGCTGAATCACAATGGTAATACCGATATATAATCGCCTTTGAATGGAACTAAACAATACTCCAATTCTCTTATGGCTGACGGAGCCTCAGTGTATGTTGGTCAAGGCAATTAGTCGCATCTCCTCAAACCCAGCCTTTGTTGGGTTCGTTGACGCCGTTTTGAATGATGCTTAGAATCACCTGTGCTTTGACCTGAGGCTGTGGTAGATATGTGGCGTGTGCGGCTTTATTGCTTTGACCTTCTCGAAGATATCCCTATATAAGCTACTTCAAGGAAGGCCGTCTCGATGTACTGTTTCAACTTCAGCCACTTCGTCTTTCCAAATGACCTCTGCCTCCCTGGACAACTTGTTACTGTTCGTGAATTTGTCACTCTAATGAGGGTTGCCACTAACGGAGTTTTTGCAATAGATTAGCCTGTGTCGCAGATGAGGTTTCAAGATTTGAAGGGAGGCTGGAAGAGATCTCGCGAACTATACGGTGCGTACTCTGTTTCTGTCATACTTTTGAATGTAATATAAAGGTTTGGTTTCTGTGTGCAGCACCGGAATCATTCCGCCGGAAGACGAAATGCTTACACCGAATACGCCTGCGCTACTAAATTACACTGATAAGTTTGAGCTTAGGAAGGCTGGCATTCAGGATTTTCTTCCTCTAGGGTATGTCGTGCTCGCTAGACTCAGTCATAGTGGAATTCGTAATCTGTTTTTCCCAGACCTACTATTCCGGTTCTCCCAGCTTCAGCACCGAGGGAAGACGAGTTGTGGGCAGATTCAAACGAGTCAAGCAAGGGTAAATTGAAGGTTGAAGTCGTCCCGTCGAAACACTCAAAAGGAGATCACAAATACGACGAGAAACTCGACTGGGAGCAAACTATAGCAGCCAAGATTTCGACGTGTATTGTTGAGCTCAAGGCAGAGATGATAGTGTCCTATAGCTATTTCTCAGATTCAAACACCTACTGTCTGAAGCTCTGCGGACCCGCTTTCCAGTGAGCGCTGTCAGAACTCCAATCAATTGGGTTCCAGGCTATCAGGGATGATGCTATTAGTAGATACTCTGTCCCTACTCTATTTCCCATTTGAAAAGCTTGGTCTACTCGATTATACGTAGATCAAGGTAATCAGAAGTACTAATGAGTCGATGCTTACACATAGCTTTTTGAAAGTAATGGATGATCGATGAAAGCAAGCTTTTACTCGTAAGATGGCTGAGTGGTTGAGTCGTGTGACTCAAGCTGTTGAAAGCTTCCCTTCCCATGGGGAAACCCCGCCTGGGTTCAAACCCCAGTATTACCGTGTTTTTATGATCATCTTCGGAGCGGACCCAACGCGGTCGAACATGCATGCATGCCTGCTGGCTAGGGCCGAAGAATGCAGACATCCCTACCCACCTGGCTTTGCTTGATTAATATAATACAATGTTTGACATGAGAAACCCTGGGATTCCAACTTTCTACCTCCACAGGAGTAAAGGCAATCAGCTGGTGTAGCTTGCATATAGTCATCGGAAACGTAAAGCACAAGACACCCGGCGCAATAAAATTAGGGTTCCCGGAGTATTCCAAGGTGACACCTCTTCTCTGTCTTTCAACCAAATCACAGCTCAACATTAGAGAAGGTGTGTTTGAAGCTCGTGTTCAAATGTGAAACCTTCAATAAAACCCTAAGTTCATTGCACCTCATGCGGAGTGGTGCCCGTGATCATCGCTTTAATTTTCTTTTGCCCACTTATGTCCGGGAACGTACTTTAATATAACCATGATGCATCTCGGAGGAAACTGTGCTCGAGACTCGACTCGGAGGGCAGAAAGTCAACATTACTGGAAGATAGGCAATCGGTAATAAAAAGAGCGAGTGCGCAATTCGGTTACGCCCGTGGCATCAGCGCTCAGCGCTGAGTGCTAATTATAGCTTACATTATGCTTATGAATGCCGTCCCGGGTGCTTCGTACATATATAAAATGCCTTTCACAGCAGATTCCCTTGTTTCCCGGTGATAGATGTCCGACATAGGTATCGATACCGCTAGTCTCCCTGAAATTTTCGAAAATTTTGCAATCTCCCGTTGGAAAGTCTGACAAAAAGACTTAAATTCCAGCGCTGTCGTGTCAGCATCAACCCGGGCTCCTTGAACAAAGAACAGGGAGGAACAAATGAAGCATGTATATGGGAAAATGACTGTAAATTGGAGCCAGAGTCCTAGTCCTAGTATGAAGTTCCAATGATCTATGAAACGATCGGTCGTTTGCTAAAAGCTAGATAGCCCCTACATAGCGGAACAATACCAATCATCAATGTTGTCTCGACATGGTGGGTCTCTAGGGAAAATATCACCTAACCGAGCTGAAGCATATTTGGGTGATGTACCGAGAGCATACTGAAAGGCAGGCAGCGAGTATGAGTAGACAAGTCGAAGGAAAAGATGCTGCAACCGTGGAGGCATCTGCTACCTTTTGTGGTACCTATATCGTGTTAAACAAGCGTCCTAGTAACCGAAGCACCATTCTGGTATGGTGCCCGAAAGACTCAGGTCTAAAGGTGGAAAGCCTCAGAGCCGCTCTAGGTCTCCCGTTCAGTGTCGCGAACTTGACTGTAAAGGACCTATCATGCGCAATTTCCTTGGACTACTCTCATCGTTTCCTCCGGAACACTTGCAGATCATGACTGTCCCTTTGGCGCCACGGTGACGAGAACCCAGACCGGAGATAGTTGTGTTCATGTATCGGATACCGCGGAAGAAGAGGCGGGAGCTGCGCTGTAGAGCTCAAAAATCAGATAGAGAAGTTGGTTGTAGAACGAGGAGTGCGTACACGCGTGAGGGATTACCATAGTCGACATAGGTAATGCATGGGCGTGGAGTGATCCAAGAGTGGTGATGCGAGGCAGCGGTGGGGATAGCAGCGGTAGCGAGCAGACAGGCAGAGTAACAGTAGATGATAGCGGCGTAATCTAAGGCCGCTGGCTTGGGTTGAATCGTTGTCGTGCGACCATGTAGTGGTGCGGAAGTTACTTTTTGGTGCCTTTGAGACTAAATTTGTGCCGGCGGTGGGGTGGATGAGAAGTATTAGATCATTCCCTAGGCACTAGTGAGCGAGATATCGAAAGATAAAAATGCACTACTTACCGTATACATCCTCATCCCAAAAAAAGTTTTCAGCCATCGATACGCCTTCAAATTCTCCACATATATACCTTCCAGTCGCAGAATCCGCCTGGAAAAGTCTTCGAGGCATGACTCATTGCAGAGTGACATTATCGTTCGAGGTCGTTGTCGGTGAAGAGTTCCAATTTTGTTTGTTTGCGCCAAATACGCCGAGTTGGGGTTAGGGTCAAGGTGAGCCGCAAGCGACGCCATCTCTTGTGTCTCATCAACCACTCAATCTATCTAAGTCCATACTGACAATTTCCCTGCCAGCTATGCGTAAACATGCTCACGATGGTACGATCTTCCAGGCTTCGAGGCCGGACATTCCGACGAAACTATTGTCGGTCGCATCATCATTGAATACTCCCCGGCGGTGGCGGTAGGTAGTGTCATGTTGGTATGCGAGAGCAGAGCGTCTCAGCCTCTGCCTGTGAAGGCTTTATCGCTGGTCCAGAATCAGAACTGCTGACCAAGGCGACTTTGCTTAGAGTAAGAGAATATGACAAGAACCACGCGGCAATTGGGATCCAGAACTAGTCCGATAGTCGTTGAGGTATGCCTCTCGTCGTCTCGCCCTGTAACGATCTGATAGATCCTTGAATATTTCAGCTACATCAACCGAATCCTTCTGTCACCTTCTGTCCTATCACTTTGCGTTCATCATACACCTCAGTGGTATCAGCAGACCAGACACGAGGTTGCAACGTGGATTCTTTTTAATTTCCGCTTCGACTCCGGTGTAGATCGAACGAAGGGTTGTGGTATGTCTTGATGATTAAAACGCAGTGCTGAGATGACTTTTGCAGATGTTCAAGTTTCTCACAGGGTATGTCCTCTAGTCATTCCTTTTACCCCTAGTCTTGTACACCATTGTTCGTCAATCAATTTAGGCTGTGTCTTTTGAAATTTACCTTTCCTCATCAACTACCATGCCTAATTGTCTCGTGAATGCTGTCGACTTTGATATGTGAGGTGTAAGGAATGATATGCCAAGACTAGACCGTACACAGGCAGTTTTAGAACAGCGGATAAAGATTAGTATTGCAGCGCCTCGAGTACCTATTGTACAGCCTAGCAAACGGATGTGTGGAGAAAAGTTAGCTTTTGTGAATGGAAGGTTATCTGACAGTCTACCCGTGATATAAACCGTTTAAGTCGAAGTGCATTAGTCACGATGCTGTGGGCGGAACTATTCAAGCTGCAAAAGCACTCCAGTTGCAGGATCCTAGTGAGCATTCCCTGTTCTGTGATATCAGCAAGTAATGTATATTTATTAAGTATTGTACTACGTCTGCATAATCGACCGTGTTCATCTCAAGACTGTGCTCTTGAGCGCCAAATAACCCGGGAACATCGGAGTTTAGCGCCCAAGTGTGCAAAGATACCACCTCTGAATCAAGCATCAAGCAACGTCCTCTCCACCATAAAATATGCAGTACGAATAGATGAGACCATTTGGAACATATTCCGGTAGGTTCGAGAGTCGATGTGTGACTATAGTAGGGATTATCGACCATTCTGTGTAAGCTTCGCCGTGCGCCAGCGCTGGGAACTGGGTACAAGTGTGAGCGTGATTCGAGGAAGTAATCGAGATTAAAGATATGTTGCTTTTGAACACCATGACCCATACCTAGGACATGAGGTTTGGTAAACAACTTCCTAATGCAACCAGAACATAAAGTATCATCGAGGCCTTGAACCCGACCGATACCCTTGGAGTTCCGATAATTCTGCACCTCTTAGCGTGAGAGACGGAGGAAAAGAGGTATGAAGATGTAGGAATTACCGACTTCGAAGTTGTACAATTGTGAGCGTGTTTACAGGAAGCTGGCGTGGAGATTTTTAGTATAGAACCAGATATATCGAACGATTAATTAGAGACAGACCTTGGATAGAGATGATCAAGTGAGCATTTCCATATCCCTTACATCCCCAACTTCCTCTCCTGGCACGGGAACGGTACACCAACTGCCTGTTATTCCTTTCGTTCCATCAATCTTAGAACACGTTCCCGCTAAGCAATATGTAGCACTGGAAGCTTTGGACGCTGGTATGGCTCACAGCCAAAGATCAAAGGACATCCGAAGGGGCATGCTGGGGTATAGGACTAAGGATGACTTGATGTTCTCTGTCAAAAAACCCTAGTGAGTATACGAGCTTTATCTATACAGAACGTCTTACACGGATAATGGAGGAAAGAAAAATGGTATTAGCGAGGTGTGTCGCATACCATTTTATGACAAAATCGATGTCGTATCGTGGCACTATTTTTCGCTTGACCTAATGGCGGGTCATCACATCACGCTCCACCAGTACTTGTTGGACCTAATGCCATCGTTGTTAAAAGTCACGTCGGGAGGTAACATGAACCGACTATAGAGTTTGTAGACAAGGGATTGGCAAAGGATGTAAGTATAGAGTGGTGAATGTTTGAACCATCATACCGTGAGCTCTGTTTTATATCCCTAGGCGGCGGATGCTAACTAGGATACTAATTCAGCCGGTGGAGTTACTCTCAAAGTTGAAAGTCATTACAATACCTGCCAGTTCTGATTGAGGTCTGATAAACATTGATGCCTAGATCGGTGTTCTGGTTCAAAGGCCTCCGGTAACTCGGGTATTCAGGTATCCGGTCCGTCTGTTTGGTGAGAACAAACAAACATTTCCTTTTCACCGCCAGCGACGACAAAATCCATACTTTCCAGCCGTCCGTCTCTCTATAAAACCGACTGCTCGACTCTATGTACTATGAAAATGCCGCACTAAGAAATCCTCGGCTATTGGATGGTTAGAACGATCGGACTGGTGGATATGTTTCCTCAGGTTCATCTAGAGGTGCGTCTTTCAAATCTCGTTCGTTCTCTCGGAGAAAGGCCAATCTAACCTTCACAGTATAGATGATTTCGAACTTACCCTCAAACATACTCCTCAAACATACTCCACAAACATACACCTCCTCTAAACTATTTTCGTGGATGTCCAACACTAGCCGTGCTCTTCAGATAGAGCTCAAAGCTGAAATTCCAACGACGACTTCTGATCTATTTGGACTCGCTCTAAAGGTATGCTGCCTCTTTTCTTTAGCTTACCTTCTCAAACCTCAGCAGTATCTTCAGGAAACCAGAGAGCTCTAGGAAGTTCCTCTCTACACCTTCTATGTAC